TTGCTTATTCCTCCACGTTGCGCGGATTACGACGAGCAACGGAATCCTCGCCGAGCGATTGAAGATAAATATCGGTCTAAGCTTGTATAAGATACCTCCTCGGCCGAGTTGGATTGTTACGAAGAATGGATGGTAATGAGGGATAAATATTTCGTGATTTCATATATTTCGCTCGTGGATTCGATTCGAGTGATAGATGTAAGTAGCATCAGTCGAAGAGAGCATGACCTAACCCCTTACCCTCGGAATACACGGTCTCTCAACGTCTCTCATGCATTTTGCACGCAAATTCGCACGATGAAAACACGATATCCTTGTTATATTTCTCTGTAGGCCATGATCTAAAAATTTCCATAGACAAAATTGTCGTAACAGGGTATAAAAGTAAACGATTCGATCTAAAATATTCAACCGTCTCTCGAGGAAAAATATATATATATATACGTAAGAGTCCGTGAGAAGGTGAAGGGTTCAAAGGTTAGCCAGGGTACCGTTCCGCGGTTTGACCGTTTTGTTCCACCAGTTCTCGCGTGCGTGAAGATTGCGCGGGTTACGGAAGATGGATCAGCCGGCGGCTGAGTTCTGCCATGATTTCGTTTTTTGCGGGAATCGCCACGAGGTGAGAGACGAGAGATGGATCGCCAAGGAACGGATACTGCCAATACTGAAATATAGTAACAAGGGCAGCCGAGGGATCGGGAACGAAACTCGTCGGCGAGGGGCGATGAGACGAGGCAATAGGCGCAGCTCGTGAGGATCGGGCATAGGTAAGTGGCACTTATGTTTAATACTCGAGTGTGGATGAGTGGTGGTCGGTTCTGCACGCGATCCTCGCCTCTTCCCTGACCTCGCGTTCGCTAGAACCAATTTCCACGGATAATATGAGCGAGGATCAAAATATTCGTTTTTTAATTCGCTTCAAATGGGACACGGAGATAAGTTAGTTAGTCGTCGATCTATATATTATCGTGGCGCGTTTATTAGTGCATTTTGAAGAATATTAATTGAAAACATCTACTACTATTTTTTTAATTATTGAAAGTTATGGAAGAATCGATTTATGTACTTTGAAATTAATCTAGAAAATGAAGAAAGACGTACGTATCGAAAAACAATTATATGTATAAATTTAAAATTAAAAGAAACGTGACTTCAATCCAATAACGAAGATATTTTTCTGGAAATGGAGAATAACTATTAACTATACGACTCTGAATAGTTCTATTCTCAAATAGAATTAGAATCTCAAGGAATAATGCAATTGTATAATTCAATGCAATAAATATGATGGAAGGATTCGATATTTCGATAGAGAAAAAATTAGATTTGTTTTTCAGGTGGAACATTGTCGAGAAGACGTTGAATAGCAGATCGAGCGGCGAACGAGTAGCGATATGAAACCGATCGATCGACGAAAGTCAACTTTTTATAAGACAAAGGACAATTTGGTTTCAATTTGGCTATAAGGTATAAACATTCGTAGAAATTTTAAATAAATTATCAAAATTTCTAATATAGTTAAATTATATCGGTAAAATTTAAATTGGTTAAAGGCAATTTATTATGCCTCTTCATTATCTGAAGAATCCTATGTACGCACTTTGTCTCTTAGCGGCATTTTGCGTACGACAGCATATACAGAATAATAGGTATGAGATAATGGCTTCCTTTATATATAAATATCTTTTAATAATTTTTAATAATATAATATTATAATATAATATATAATATAATATTAATATTATTGTTTTTTTTCTTATGTACGAATAGGGTCGAACAACCGTTAACAAAACGTATGTCGATTCAAACACCGATATTGATAAACACAAAACCGAATGAAGTGGATTCAAAAATAATATCGCACCCTAAGAATTTCATAAATGATTTTAACAATAATTTTAACAAGATAGACGAATCTGATTTATTGATTAATTGCATACATATCATCGCTAAACGGGCTCGACAAATCATTGAAAGCATCCAAGCAAGCATACCAGTAAATATAACAATAATAAATTATAATTATTCATATATATTAATATAAAAATAAATTAGGTTCATATTTTTTTTTCCTCAAAATGAATTCTGACAATATGAAGTTTCTTACGATATACAATATATTTCAGATAAAATAATTTTTCTATTATATTTATATTTAGTAATTACATTTATTATTTTCTTTGGAAGATCATTTTGAGCAAAAAATGTTATTATTTAACTTGATTTATCTTCGTTCTTTGGAGATATGGAAAGTGAGAGTATTATGTAAATCAAAAGTAATCAAATCAAATTTAACTTAAGTTTTAATAATAATTAATTTGAAACTGTATTTAACATTAACGATAATTTAAAATAAAAAAGATAAATCCAATGATTGAATAAGCGTGTTACAATTTTATCCATTAATTAAGAAAAATCTTAGGTTTCTATATTAATATAAAGCATTATAAATTAAGATAAATTATAAATACAGTTTCAAATTAAAAAAAATTAAAAGTTAAACAAAATACTTCAATTACTCGTGATTTATATATTATTATTATATCGAATTATTTTATTTTCTACATCTCCAAATTGATTAAAAAAAAGAAATCTCTTTTTTTTTACTAGATTTCAAAGACATTAGATATCGAAGATTCCTTATTATCTTCATCCAACATTTTTGATTCATTTCTATTCGCAACAAACAACGTTGGTATCAAATGGTTGGCTTAATACCAATGGCTTAATAATAATGATTGGAATGATGCATTGATGATCTATTGAAGAGTACGAAAAACTGTTGTTTGACAAAGATTAACACGGATTAAAGGGGGGGATCCGCATGTGATCTTTGTCAATCGATGGAAAATTTTGCAATTGATTGAAAGCGGAGGAAAGCTTTGTTCGTTATCGAATAATTTCGATCAAATCGAAGAAGAATTGGAGAAAATAAGGGACAGACTTATACATTGTATACTGTGTAAAACAGTTCGGTATTGCGCGCTCAAATAGGCGCCAACGAGCGCGCAAATACCGAACATGATGCGAAAAATAACACGCGCGTGTATTTAAAATGTATTATATATTTCATAAAAATGGAAACGTTGCAACGAGATTAAATAAATAAATTTTTGTGCTTATACAAATATTTGTTATTTCTGTCAATCCCCACTCTTGACACCAACCTTTAAATAATAATAAGATCCCTCTATATAATACAACGTATATAATAATCTACTCGCTCTTGAATTTCCTTCAAAAAATTATTTATAACCAAAACGTAGGATCAATTTTTCCAAAACCAAACTTGTAATTAGCATCGATGGATCTCAGACTTGGACTTCCGCGTGCCTCCGATATTACAAGGTCAATTAATAAATTTATGAATCGCGCGTACCTCCGTCCAAGATCAAATCCTAAGGTTCCATATCATCGATCACCGCCTGATCGACTTCCGTTTCCCATACTACCACTCCCAAAAGATGTCCCATCCTGGAATATTAATAACCAACCCTCCCCACTCCTTATCCAATCCCACTTTCGCTACGTTTCCACAACCTGGTGTCCCACGTTCCTTCCCAAACCTGTTCACCGTGCACAGATATTTATCACTCCAATCTCTCTCCCTCTCTCTCCCGTGTCTCGCAATCCATCCGTCAGAACGGTCGAGCGGATTTCCAAATCTCTCTCCCTCTCTCTCCCCCTTCTACCGATTCTAACCGCTGCTGCCGGGCGAACAACAGGGGAACCCGAGTAACCACCGAGGGCTCATTTGAATTTTCCCGGACAGGATGTGCACCGCGTGCATTTCAATCCCCTGTGGGGGAAACACCCCGACGAATTATGGAGGAGCGAGATGGGGAGGACCCCCTCTCGGGTCTCGAGCAACGGACGAAGAGGGAGGACGTGCACGGATGGTGTGTATACGCGGATGGTAGTTTAAGAGCGAACGCCCGGTATCCAGGGCACGTCCGGAGCGCCAACAGAACTTATTGTCGTGCGCACGACTCGTCGGGGCATTTTAATATTTCCGCTGAATGCGCCGAGAAAACGGTCGAACGTGGGCCCGGCGACGAGAAAACGAAAGGAAAGGAGAGGAAAAGGAGGAGGATGAGAGAAGGAAGGAGAAGGGGTGAGGGAAGGGAAAAATGAGGGGGAGGGAGAGAGAGAGAGAAAAAGAGAGGGGCAAACCGGAGGCGAGGAATCGTTACGCGACAGTGCCACTGGTCTTGGTTTT